TTTTCGTGAGTGGACTTGGAGGGTCCGAAAGGGTCGCAAGTGTGCACTAGGGTCCAATTCATGGAGCCTAGAACAAGGCGCCATCTCCATCCCGGCTTCTGAAGAGAAAAGAGGAGAATGCCCGGCTCTCATGGACTTTAAAATAATGTTCGTTTGAATATCCATATTCAAGGGTTGAGGGTTTAGTAATCTCCGACGTCATCTTCGTCAACGTCGGAGTGGTGGTGACCAAGTCGAAGTAATTCCAATATCTGCCGGCGATTGTTACCTGCTCAACGCTGCCCAAACAAAAGCCCAAACGACCTATTGTAAACCACACCGCTTTGTACATGCTATTCTTGCTACTTTAATACCCCGCATGAATACGATTACCTCTAGAACCATCCACAGGTATTTTAAGACTTGCGGGCCTTGTCACGTGATGGCAAAGACGTTGAACGACAAAGAAGTGACAATGACACAATTTGTAAGGGTACCAAACAAAGAAACGCCGGCAGCGTGGTTTGTAGCTAGCTTTTGACTATCCACCACTTTTATCCACGTCAGAGGCTCACCCGTAGCGCCGTGCAAATCCTCTTCCACCAGAGTCTCCGGAGCTACACCCAGTCAACCCAGCCGGTCGACAACCGGTCAACTACAACGGTGGGCCTTCCCACGACAGTGTCGACCACCACCATCCGATTTCAGCGCCTCTTTTTTGTGCGCCCACCCATTCCATACCCTCAGGATTCTATCTCCTATTCACTCACCGTCGGGTATCAAGGACAGATCAGGGAGGCTTTAGTGGCCCACCCCACTCATGTTCTTGGCGTGTATTGAGATACAGGATGTATCAGGGGCCAATGGTTCTGTGGAGGTTAGGCAAGTAACCGCTTGGACCCGATATATACGGACCAGAATCGAAATCTCAGTTTTACGATATTCCGATAGATTCGTATCGATCCACATCAATTTACATCCATGTCAAGCAAGATTTTATCAAGCCAACTCGCATTGGCCAACGAAAGTGGAGGCGGACCTGGCAAACCTTCCATCCACGAACATGCATGTGGTTGGCCACAAGATTGCATTGTGTACCCGATCTGTACGGCTGGACAATATCTAGTTGTGCCAAATTCGTGACTTTATATTCAAGCCAACTCTGAGATTAC